CTCTTACTTTGAGTCTGTGGATGTCCTTTCTAGTGAGGTGAGTCTCTTGAAGGCAATATATTGTTGCCTGATGATATTTTATCCATTTTGCCATTCTATGTCTTTTCAGTGGTGCAGTTAGTCCGTTCACATTTAGGCTAATAATTGAAATGCAAGAGTTGATCCCTGTCATAAGGTTCTTACAGAGTTGGTCCTACTTGTTTGTTGTCTTTCTTTGGGTTTTGGAGTTGGTTCATGTGTGTTTTTAATCTTTTGCCTGTACTCTTGTGAAGAATGCTGTTGTTCTTTTTTCTTTTTCTGCTGTGTTCAGTACTTTCTTAAGTGTTTCTTGTAGAGGTGGTCTGGTGGCAGCGAAGGTTCTTAGGGATTAGATATCTGGAAAAGATTTCAATTCTCCCTCACTAATGAAGCTTAGTTTGGCTGGGTAGGTTATTCTTGGTTGAAATTGTTTCTCTTTTAGAACTTTGAAGATAGGGCTCCAGGCTCTCCTGGCCTGAAGGGTTTCTGTGGATAAATCTGCTGCTATTCTAATTGGTTTTCCCTAGTAGGTAGTCTGACCTTTTTCTCTTGCTGCCTTTAGGATTTTTCCTTTTATAGCTACTTTGTTTAGGCAAATTATTATGTGTCTGGGAGTTGGTCTTCTCATTTGTTGTCTTGCAGGGGTTCTCTGAATCTCTTGTGTTTGAATTTTTTCATCCTTAATGAGATAAGGGAAGTTTTCTTGAGTGATTTCATGAAATGTTTGGCTTCTGTTTCTCTCCCTGCCTCAGGAAGCCCAATTACTCTTAGGTTTGGTCTCTTGAAGTGATCATTCATCTCTTGCAGGTTTTGTTCTGTCTTTTTGAGCTTCTTTTCTATGCTTTTGACAGTTTGGGTTAGTTCTGTGTTTTGGTCTTCGAGCTCTGAGATTCTTTCTTCTGCTTGGCTGATTCTGCTTTCCATGCTTATTAGTCTGTTGTTCATTTCCATCACAGTATTCTTTACTGCTGTCATTTCTGACATCAGCTCCTTCCTAATTTCCTCTTGTCTCTCCTCAATTTTTAAAATTCTCTCCATTAATGTCTTGATGTCTGGGTTTGTTGCATATAACCAGTCATTCTGGGGGCTCTTTTATTGTTTGTGTTCCAGAATCTGTTTTCTCAGTGTCTGATTTCACAGTGTCTGTGTGAGACCTATATTCTTCTTTTGGTTTTTCTTCATTTGTGTGGTTTTTCCCCCTCCCTACTTTTTCCTTCCCTCCATGTCACCATCTTCTTTAGTTCTGTTATTCATGGGTAAAGGGATTGGTTTTACTTCTGTTTGTTCGATCTCCTATTCTTTATGTATGTCCTCTTACTTTGTTCAATTCTGGAGTTGCACTGTAGGTTGGAGGTGGTCCTTTTTGCAGTTTTGAGATTTACTTAAGGGGAGAGCGGTGATTCAAAATATATCTGCGGGTCCTGGTATTCGCTGACAGGTGTGTGGATAATGTGGAACCCACTTCCCACTGCCCTGGAATCTGTCCGTGCAGTGGGGCTATAGGTTTACTCCCTGAAATAAAATGTGGTTAGCAGAGGGGAGAGAATGGAGCAGATAGTGGGTTGAAGAGGGGAGTGGAGAGATAGAGGAGTAAGGGGGGAAACAAACGAGTGTGCCAACAAATAGAGAGAGAGGCCTATACTGAAACAGATAAAAACAATAGACCACAGCTACAGTCGAACCAACTCTCATACAAAAAAATAAAAAATAAAAATAAAACATATAGTGATGCTAACATACAAGCTAACCAACCACCTTGTTAGTGTGCTGTTCCTCTATACAAAGATATGATTTACAGAGAGAAGAAAAGAGAAGAAAAGGAAAAGGAAAAAAGAAAAAGGGAACACTACAGTAGGAATAGAATTAAGTCATTAAACTAATAGAATCAATGAAGTACACTCTGAGACATTTCGTTTAAGTCCAATGTCCTTTCAGGTCTGATTTCTAGTTTTCTTTTCAAGCTGGTAAATTAGTTTGCAGTTAGGGTCAGTTGCCCCTGATCTGCTGTGAAGGACAGTTCAGATTACCCTCCATTGAGCACTCTGGTCTATGTCTTTATCAAGCTTGTTTCTCCCGTTTTGGTGTTGTTACCTTGAATCGCCAGCAGGTGGTGCTATCTCAGCTGCTCACCCCAGAGGGGGTGGGGCCGGACAGGAACAAGATGGCTGCCTGCCTCAGGGCAGGCAACAGGAGCGTTATGGCGGCGGGCAGGACAGTCTCGGTCGCAGGAGAGGTGGCAGCGATTCCAGCAGATCTTCCCTGAAGGGGTTTGATGTGGATCGCCTTGGGCCCATGTGGTGTGATATGCTATGGCTGTCACGGAGGCCGTGGCAGCGGTGGCAGTGGCAGCGGCGGTGGGGATAGGGGCTGCGGCGGTGGCGCTGGCACCATTTGCACCGCAGTGACTGTCTAGTCCGTTGCGATGTCCCAGCGGTGGCAACGGCCGAGCTCCGTATGAAGAGCAGGCTGCGATGTTGGGGTCCACAGCCCCCCGGGGCGAGAGTCAGAGACCCACTGCAGATCTCCTTTGCAGAGGGCTTCAGAGACTGGGTTGCCCCTTTGCCATCTTGCAGCTTCCCTAATTTCTTGATGTACCATAGAGATGAGGTCTCGCCAAGTTGCCTGGGCTGGTCTCAAACCCCTGGGCTCAAGCAATCCTTGTCTCTGCCTCCCAAAGTGCTGTGATTATAGGCTTGAACCACCACTCCTGGCCACTTCCACTAGATTATAAGGACTTCGTGGTCCATTCTTAAGAAAGTCTAAGACTGGAATCACCACATTTTTTCTGAAAAAATATTTTAAAAAACATTTATTGAGTGCCTACTATTTGGGCTAAGTGTGGTGGTAGCCTTACCTCATACTGCTTAATTTTGTTGGTGAATTCAGACATTGAATAAGTCACCACAACCGAGAAAGGGGAGAAAATGGACTTGGAATGAAATAAATCATTAGCGGGCAAAAGAGGTGTCCAGGATAACTCAGTTAAGTTGGGCAGTGATAGCAGCTCCATTTACTGAGTGTGTTGGTGGTGCGGTTCTGAGAACTTTTCATCACAATTTCTTTTTTTTTTTTTTTGAGTCAGAGTCCCACTCTGTCTTCTAGGCTGAAGTGCAGTGGCATGCCCACAGCCGCCACAGCCTCAATCTGCTGAGCTCAGGTGATCCTTCTGCCTCAGCCTTCCAAGTAGCTGGGACTACAGGTGTATGCCACCATGCCTGGATAATTTTTCTCGATTTATTGTAGAGACAAGGTCTTGCCAAGTTGCCCAGGCTGGTCTCAAACCCCTGGGCTCAGGCAATCCTCTCTTGCCTCTGCCTCCCAAAGTACCAGGATTACAGGAGTGAGCCACCGTGCCCAGCTTCCCATCACTATTTCATTCAATCCTTACAGCAACCCTGAGAGGTGTCATCATTATCCCAAGACCAGCACTAGTAAATGACAGTCAGTATTTAGGTGCCATACCTACTAGAATCGCCCACTACAGGGCCTAGGGATCCCTAGGGGATCTCAGTGGGATATGTGGCAGGTCTACTGTATGGGTGGGGAAGTAAGAGACACACTCATAAAGCCATCTGAGAATGATTTGGGGCAGCATATGATGCCACCCACTGCTCAGGGCACTTCGTTGGCCAGTTGGACTCATCTAGGAAAAGGTTGCCAGCAGGAGGGCAGTTAGAGTGCAGAAAGGTAAGCACAGCTTAGTTAGGCATTGCAGAGAGCTAGATCAGAATCCAGGTTAACTTAACCACCAGCAATGTGACCTGGGTAAATTACTTAACCTCCCTGAGCCTAAGTTTTCCCATCTCTAAAAAAATAGTAATAATAAATAAGGGTTGTTGTGGTATTGAATAGGATTAGATGAAATAATGTATGAGAAAATGTCTGGCCATCATTTGCATGTAGAACCATGTCATACAAAGAGTGAATAAGAGAGCTGCATGTGTTTCATGAAACAGTCCATGACCCTTCTCCCTGCAACAACTCTAAGTCACATGTGACATGCTTTTCCATGGGAGTACCTAGATAGTAACAGAAAAAATTAATGCGGAACTTATATGAAGAAGAAAACCACCATGATGATTTGTAATTATGCATTCAAGCTGTGACTCCCACTCAGGAAAGCAGATGTGATGTTCTGCAGATATATATCATGGTCTCACTCTGTCATCAGGTTGGAATGCAGTGACACCACAATCATGGCTCACTGCAACCTTGACCTCCTGGAGTCTGGTGATCCTTCTGCCTCGGCCTCCCAAGTAGCTGGGACTACAGGTATGCACCACCATACCTGGCTAATTTTTTTGACTTTTTTGTGGAGACAAGGTCTTTCTATGCTGTCCAGGCTGGTCTTAAACTCCTGGGCTCAAGCAACCCTACTGCTGCGATTATAGGCGTGAGCCACTGCACCCAGCCCAGAGATAATTTTGAAACCACTCAAATGTATATGAAAAATGAAACTCACTAGGTGCAGTGGCTCACGCCTATAATCTCAGCTCTTTAGGAGGCGGAAGCGAGAGGATTGCCTGAGCTCATGGGTTCGACACCAGCCTGGGCAACTTGACCAGACTTTGTCTCTACAATATATCAGAAAATTAGCCAGGCGTCTGTTGTTCCAGCTACTTGGAAAGCTGAGGTGGAAGGATTGCCTGAGCCCAGCAGGTCGAGGTTGTGGTGACCGAGTGTGCCACTGCACTCCAGCCTGGGTGACAGAGTGAGACTACAACTCAAAAAAAAAGAAAAAGAAAAATGAAACTCTTTTCAAACCTTGTTGCTTGTACTCAGTGGTAGCATTTACTTGTCATTTACTGTGACATTTGTATTTGAGAAGGGCAGGCTTAGACGGCTGTGACAATTGTCCTCAAGTCTCTGAAGGTAGATATTCTCTCTGTAAGGCCCTCCAGGACAGAGCCAGGATCCTTATGGATGGTGGGAAAGTCACAGGACAGCAGGTCCAGCTCAGTAAGAGGAATCATTGCTTAGAAATCAGAGCTGTCCCACAGCGAGAGGGGCTGCCTTGCAGGGTGATGAGTTCACGTCATTCATTTACTCACTCCTGCTGGGTGCTAGGCACTGAAGACACTGAGAACTGCACTCAGCAACTTCTGGACCTCACCCCCTAGCTGGAGAGACAGTCGATGGGACACATGTGCTAAGTACTGGCATCAGAGGCACTGGGGACTTGGGAAGGGGAATCCAACCTAGAAAGGAAGCTGACAGTCAGGGAGGGTGCCCTGGAGGAGATGGCCCCTGAGCTGAATGTTGAAGGATGAGTTAAAAATAGCCAGGAGGAAGCCGGGCTCGGTGGCTCAGCCTGTAATCCCGCGCCTTTGGGAGGCTGAGGTGAGTGGATTGCCTGAGCCCGCGGTTCGAGACCCACCTGGGCAGGCGAGACCTCATCTCTACAATAAATCAAAAAAATCAGCCGGGCGTGATAGCGCGCGCCTGTAGTTCCGGTT